TTTAATGATTCTATTCAATGGTTTCTTTGATATTAATGTAACTTTTGTCCCAAGGCGAGTTGCCTCATGATAGCTGATGGGATTAATCCTCTCTAATCATCTGTTAGAGCCCTGATACCTGCTGGCTTAAATGGAAAAGCATGCAATTTTCTAATTCCCTTCATACAGGTAGTCCTCAATTTATCATCACAACTGAATCCAATTGAAACACTGCCCCATTTTACAATCTTTCTTGCCACAGTTGTTAAGTGAATCATTGCATTTGTTAAGTTAGCAACATGGTTGTTAAGTGAATCCGCCTTCCCCATTGACTTTGCTTGTCAGAAGGTCACAAAAGGTGATCCCATGACCCCGGGACACTGCAGCCATCATAAATAGGAAGCGTCTGAATTTTGATCATGTAACTATGGAGATGCTACAACAGTCATAAGTGTGAAAAATGGCCCTAGGTCACTTTTATCAGTGCCATTGTAACTTTGAATGGTCACCAAATGAACTGTTGTAAGTCAAGGACTGCCTATATTCCTCAGGCATTCCCAGAAACACCACTATTTTCTTTCCAAATAAAAAGTAATAATAATAATAATAATAGCAGAATTGCTGATCTGGAAATTCAATGTCTCTAAGCCTTCCCATTCACAGGTAAGGATAGAACAGCTATTATTCTCTCCACAGGCTGAAGAAAACATCAAAAAAAAAATAGTAATGCTAGGCAGCAGAGTTCATTTATTGGGGTAGAAAAAATTGATATTACTAGTTAATACACAGCCCTTTCTTTATTGACTCGATGAACAGGAAAACTTCAGACCAGGAAAATTGTCAGTGGAGAAGTTAGCGAAGTATAACTCACCTTTCAATATGCAAGATGGGAGCTGGCCCTAAGAAAAAATAGCATAATGTGGTCAGAAAAGCTCCAACGATTAGCAGCCATTTCCTTAAACTCTGCAAGAGATAGACAAAGAACTTGATTCTCATCAAAATATCACGTTTGAATAAACTGAATGCATTAATTCAAGCAATAGGGAATAAAGTGAAATAACAGAGAAATCTCACATTAGATCATTTCATGTATTCAGCTCAACCAGAACCTAGCATTCATCTTCATGTTCTTTGAGAAGAGGTAACCAATCCGCTGAAAGAGGTTACTTTTTCAAGAGAAAGGGGTGACTAGGGAAAACAGCTTCTCTTTCTCCCAATGAAAGTGTCTCACCAGCAAACTGGTTCTTCCAAACATTAGGATTCAACTTGTCTGTTCTCAGATAGGAGTCCTCCTGGCTGGTAAAATGTAAAACGTGTGGCTATGAACATGGGTCCATGTGCCATCGTTGGCAATGGCTTTCCAAGTTACCAAGAGCTGTGCTATTGGCAATCTTTTTGCTATGAACAAAAACAAAAGTTTCATCACATCTATCACATCAGAGTTGGGACTCTTTGTCTGGATGGCTTTGTCAAACCAGCTCTACAGTTCTTCCACAAATTACAAATATATTATATGATTATTTCTTACCACTTCTTGGCTGAGGAAACACATTAGGCAGAAACACGTCTTCATAGTTGATCTATGGGATTTGGTAAGATCCAATGTCAACACAAGGATTTCTATTATTTGGCTTCTGAAGCATGTCAAACTTAAACACCAATACTGGATAATCACAACTGGCAAATCCAAAGAAGTTTAAAAAATTGAACTAAGGATGGGGTAAGATCTTGTACTCACCGGCTTTTTATCGCTTAGAAAACCAAGAAGTGGTGAAGATAAGGCATAAGGGAGCGCTAGGGCCAGAAAGACCAATCCCACATATCCCACTGGCAATTTAAACTATAGAAAGAAAATCAATATTCTTGTTAGGGCATAAAAACAGAATACAATATTAATTCAATCAGTGGTGGGATTCAATTGTTTTTACTACCAGTTCTGTGGGCATGGCTTGGTGGGCATGGCAAGGCAAGGATACTGTAAAATCTCCAGTCAGAGGTGGTTTTTGTAGGTTCTCCGAACTACTCAAAATTTCCACTACCGGTTCTCCAGAACTGGTCAGAACCTGCTGAATACCACCTCTGAATTCAATACAGGTAGTCCTCGACTGACAACAGTTTATTTAGTAACTGTTCAAAGTTACAACGGGATTGAAAAAAGTGGCTTTTTTAATGACTTTTTCACACTTATGACCATTTTCCACATGACGATTGCGGCATCCCCACAATCATGTGACCAAAATTCAGGTGCTTGGCAACTGATTCATATTTATGACGGCTGCAGTGACCCCAGGTCACCTGACTGCCTTTTGTTTCCTTCTGATGAGCAAAGTCTATGGAGAAACCAGATGCACTAAATAATTGTGTTACTAACTTAACAGCTGCAGTCATTCACTTAACAACCGTGGCAAGAAATGTCGTAAAATTAGGCTTGAGTCACTTAATAATGGAACACTTAGCAATGGAAATTTGGATCTCAATTGTATTTTGAAGTCAAGGACTACCTGCATTGGCCATGTGGCTGAAGATAAATCACATTCAATGTATTTCATGTTAGTAATGTTCTCCTTATGTTGTTTTAAAGCAGAGGTGTCGAACTCGATTTCATTGAGGGCCGCATCAGGGCTGTGTTTGACCTTGGGGGGGGGGAGGCAGGGGTCTGCCAGGGTGGGAGTGGCCAGCTTGATGTCACTTGTGTTGGGGTGCCTGTGGTGGCCTGAGCACTCTGCCAGCAAAAATGGGCCCCCAAGCTCCGTTTTTGGCTGCGACGGCCTCTCTTGGAGCTCAAGGGGGGGCACATGCAGCCTTCCCGAGCTCCATTTTTGCTGGCAGAGGCACTGTGGGCTGGTCCTTAGCTGTTCCCTTTGCAGCCCCATGGGCCAGATCTAAGCACCCTGTGGGCCAGCCGGCCCGTGGGCTTTGCGTTTGACACCCCAGTTTAAACATTATAATTTCTGAGGCATGAACTTATTTATATTTTGGAGCCCATATGACCCTTTGGGACAGCTAGTTAGAATTACAATGTAGGAAGAGACATCTAGAAATGTAGCAACTATTAGAAAGGTTAAAACAAACTGCTAATATTTGTTACACACCCATGATTTAGAAATCAATTATCAAATCTATGAAGCTTAACAGGTTATTTCAGAATGAATAAGATGGATCTAAAAGAATTTTTTTGTACCTACTTTTTCCAAGACAAATAATGACATTGTAGGATCTAGAAAGGCAATACATGAACTTAGTCCAAATATATTTAGACAAAGGATTGCAACTTTCGGTAGAACAATAAGCTTCAAAAATGAATCTTTCTTAGGAACTGAATCTGTAATTAGAAAAGCATAGAATATAAAATTATTATAATAACTAATCTATACAACTATTTTATACATTAAAAGATACTAGTCCTTGCCCTGAGTCTACAGTCCTAAATTCAGATAAAGAAGGGGAAATAGCCTTTCCATGTTAATATCTAACCATGCAGACACAGGCTTACACACAAATGGTATTTATCATGTATTTTTCTTATAAACAAGAATATAAACCATTTAAAATAACAGTTATGAGCAGGATTAATGTGTCAGGACAGAAGGTAGCACCCTGTATACCATATATATTAAAGTAGCAGGAATGACTGGCATATTAAGGAAACTTCAATCCAAAAAGAGATCACTCTGGCGGAAAAACAAATCTGGTCACGTTGCCAATTTCAAAAACCGATACAAAAATTTATGCCACCAGATAAAGACCGAATGCACCAATTATCACATTAAACAAGAGGAAAACCTTCTAAGCACCAATTCCACCCGTGCTTTTTACAATTTTGTAAACAACAAACTAAAAGACTCAAGGTCCATCCCTCCCTTGATAGGACCTGATGGTAAAGACTGCAACGACGACACCATTAAAGCCAACATCTTTAACACATTCTTCGGCTCAGTATTTGTAAACAGCAATGGATCATGCCCAGTATTTCCTAGCCGTACCACAGATAACAACAATGATCTAATACATATCGATTTCACAGAAGACAATGTTGAAAAAGCACTACGCAACCTAAAACCATCTCTATCTATTGGACCGGATGGAATATGTGCCTACTTCTTAAGAAAGCTATCCACTGCCATAGCCAAACCTCTAAGCATAATCTTTGAAAAATCTTTCAGAACCAGCTCCTTGCCTAACCTATGGTCACAAGCCACAGTCATCCCCATCTTCAAAAAGGGAGACCCAAGCCTAGTTGAAAATTACAGGCCAATCTCCTTATGCTGCGTCACCTGTAAAGTCATGGAATCAATTATTAACCAATCCATCATCCTTCACTTAGAGACAAATAACCTACTCTCCAATAAACAATTTGGTTTCAGAAAAAAACTATCCTGTAATCTGCAACTCTTACACTGCAAAAACATATGGACGACACAACTCGACCAGGGCAAAGCAATAGATGCAATCTACATAGACTTCTGTAAAGCCTTTGATTCAGTGGTACACGACAAACTACTCCTAAAAATAAAATCCTATGGTATCTCTGGACAACTGAATAACTGGATAGAAGCATTCCTGTCAAACAGACAACAAATGGTCAAAATCGGGAGCGTACTATCAAATCCAGTACCTGTCAATAGTGGTGTTCCCCAAGGCAGTGTTCTAGGACCAACTCTCTTCATACTCTACATAAACGACCTCTGTGATCATATTAAGAGCAATTGCGTTCTCTTCGCTGATGATGTAAAGCTGTTCAATACCACAGACAATACTGCTACCCTACAAAAAGATCTTGACTATGTATCCGAATGGTCAAGCAAATGGCAACTTCAAATCTCAACAAATAAATGCTCTGTCTTACATATTGGCAAAAAAAATCAGAAAATAAAATACAAGCTGAATAGTCAAGATCTTGTTGATGACTCAAGCTCTGTAAAGGACCTTGGAATACTCACCTCTAATGATCTAAGTGCTAGAGCCCACTGCAACTACATAGCCAAAAAGGCATTAAGAGTTGTTAACCTAATCCTACGTAGCTTTTTCTCTGGTAATATCACACTACTAACCAGAGCATACAAAACATTTGCTAGACCAATACTCGAATACAGTTCATCAGTCTGGAACCCACACTACGTATCTGATATTAGCACAATTGAGAAAGTCCAGAAATATTTCACAAGAAGAGTTCTCCACTCCTCTACTCGTTGTAGAATACCTTATGCCACCAGACTTGAAATTCTAGAACTTGAAAACCTTGAATTACGCCATCTTCGGTCTGACTTAAGCATGGTATATAAAATCATACATTGCAATGTCCTACCTGTCAATGAATACTTCAGCTTCAACCATAACAACACAAGAGCACACAATAGATACAAACTCAAAGTAAACCGCACCAAACTTGATTGCAGGAAATACGACTTCAGCAATAGAGTGGTCAATGTCTGGAATACTCTACCCGACTCTGTAGTTTCTTCCCCAAACCCCAAAAACTTTAACCTTAGACTGTCTACTATTGACCTCACCCCTTTCCTAAGAGGTCTGTAGGGGGCGTGCATAAGCGCACCAACGTGCCTACCGTCCCTGTCCTATTGTTTCTCTTATTCTTTTATTTTTCTTATATGTACCCATTTCATGTATTCACAACTATGTATACATTTATACTTATTATCTTGTAAACAATTGGCAAATCAAATAAATAAATAAATAAATAAATATTAATGGATATGAATAATGATAATAGTTAGAAGTTATCACGCCCAACTAGAGTTCTTGCCCTGATATCAGTTCAGCCCATTTCTATACATTTCAAATGTTAGAAGTACCTGATGAACTTGTTTATCAGAAAGGCCAACAGATTACATTAGCAACAATGCCGTTACAATTAATGTTCAACACCATAGAAAATTATATTTATTAGACCTTCTTGCAGAACACACCCATCAAAAATTATCAATGGAAATCAAATTTAGCAACCTATGGAGGTCTGGATTTGGAGTTACACTCAAAATTAAAGTGGAAAAAAACACTACAGGCTGATCCAACTTTGACGTAATGTCCTTAAAACAAGTCAAAATGAGGCTCCGTAGTGTGTGTGGCCTCCATGTGCCTGTATGACCTCCCTACAACGCCTGGGCATGCACCTGATGAGGTGGCGGATGGTCTCCTGAGGGATCTCCTCCCACACCTGGACTAAAGCATCCCCAAACTCCTGGACAGTCTGTGGTGCAACGTGGCATTGGTGGATGGAGCGAGACATGATGTCCCAGATGTGCTCAATTGGATTCAGGTCTGGGGAATGGGCGGGCCAGTCCATAGCATCAATGCCTTCGTCTTGCAGGAACTGCTGACACACTCCACCCACATGAGGTCTAGCATTGTCTTGCATAAGGAGGAACCCAGGGCCAACAGCACCAGCATATGGTCTCACAAGGGGTCAGAGGATCTCATCTCAGTACCTAATGGCAGTCAGGCTACCTCTGGCGAGCACATGGAGGGCTGTGCGGCCCCCTAAAGAAATGCCATCCCACACCATTACTGACCCACTGCCAAATCGGTCATGCTGGAGGATGTTGCAGGCAGCAGAACGTTCTCCGTGGCATCTCCAGACCCTGTCACGTCTGTCACATGTGCTCAGTGTGAACCTGCTTTCATCTGTGAAGAGCACAGGGTGCCAGTGGTGAATTTGCCAATCTTGGTGTTCTCTGGCAAATGCCAAATGTCCTGCACAGTGTTGGGCTGTAAGCACAACCCCCACCTGTGGACGTCGGGCCCTCATACCACCCTCATGGAGTATGTTTCTGACCGTCTGAGTAGCCACATGCACATTTGTGGCCCGCTGGAGGACATTTGGCAGGACTCTGGCAGTGTTCCTCCTGTCCCTCCTTGCACAAAGGCGGGGGTAGCGGTCCTGATGCTGGGTTGTTGCCCTCCTACGGCCTCCTCCACGTCTCCTGATGTACTGGCCTGTCTCCTGGTAGCGCCTCCATGCTCTGGACACTACACTGACACAGTAAACCTTCTTGCCACAGCTCACATTGATGTGCCATCCTGGATGAGCTGCACTACCTGAGCCACTTGTGTGGGTTGTAGATTTTGTCTCATGCTACCACTAGAGTGAAAGCACTGCCAGCATTCAAAAGTAACCAAACCATCAGCCAGAAAGCATAGGAACTGAGAAGTGGTCTGTGATCACCACCTGCAGAACCACTCCTTTATTGGGGATGTCTTGTTAACTGCCTATGCTTTCCACCTGTTGTCTATTCCATTTGCCACAACAGCATGTGAAATTGATTGTCAATCAGTGTTGCTACCTAAGTGGACAGTTTGATTTCACAGAAGTGTGATTGACTTGGAGTTATTGTGTGTTGTTTAAGTGTTTCCTTTATTTTTTGAGCAATATGTATGTATGTATGTATGTATGTATGTATGTATGTGTATGTATGTATATATGTGTGTGTATGTATGTGTATGTGTATGTGTATGTATGTATATATATGTTTTCTTAAGTTTTCGCGGGTACTTACATGTATGGTATTCAGCTTTGTTCGGGTATTTTCCCACGTCATTGTAGTTGTGCTTTTAAAGTTGTAGCAACATTTCGGCAGAATCTCATCTGCCATCACCAGGCTTCTGTATTGTGTTCGTTTGTGAGTCAGGCTTTCACAGCCATTTCTGTTTTAAATTTGGTGCTAGCCTATGCTGTGCCAGAATGGTTTTTTCTTCATTCTGAATGGTTGGGAGTCTTGGTCTGTGTTTATTGGTCTTGGAGTTTGCTGTGTTCTGCTTGATTGGTGTTTCTAATATCTTCTGTCTGTTTTGTAGCTTTTTTTTGTCTTGATTGGCTGGCAACATTGTGTTTCCTGTATTGGAGGCTTTTAGTGCGTATTTTAGTACCATTCCTAGATGTAACTAATCTACAAAAAAACAGATGGCACACTAGGACACACCATATACCAGAAGAAAACACATACCAACCGCTACCTCAACGTCCAACGACCTATGCCTCTCAGACCCATAGTCAGCTCCAGAGGAGCACCACTACAAAACCTAGCTAAACACTTAGCAAAACAGCTACAGCCCCATGCTGAAACAGCAGCTTCACATGTACAAAACTTGTACCACTTCTTGGAAATGATCAAAGATCTACATGTGGAGCAAGAAGATCTGCTTGTAAGTTTTGACGTGGTTTCACTATTCACTCAAGTCCCGATAAAAGAGACCCTTGAAATGATCAAAAATAAATACCAACCAGCTAAACACCTCATGGAACTAACAGAACACTGCTTAACCAACACATATTTCATATACAAAGGACAAAGATACAAATAAATTGAAGGAGCCCCTATGGGATCACCACTGTCACCCGTCATTGCAAACCTGTTCATGGAAGAATTCGAATCCAGAGCCCTGGACAATGCCATCCTCAAACCCAAACTATGGTTAAGATACATCGATGACACATTCGTGATTTGGCCCCATGGAAAAGAAAACCTAAACAATTTCCTAACACACCTAAACAGTGCACACCCCAAAATCAAGTTCACCATGGAAACGGAAACAAACAAACAACTACCATTCCTAGATGTACTAATCTACAAAAAAACAGATGGCACACTAGGACACACCGTATACCAGAAGAAAACACACACCAACCGCTACCTCAACGCCCAATCCCACCACCACCCAGCACAGATAAACTCCGTGGCTAAAACACTAATTGCTAGAACCAAACGCCTGGCAGACAAGACACACATAAAGACTGAACTATGCACCCTGACTAAAGTACTGACAGCCAACGGCTTCCACAAAAGCAAAATCACTGGCTTGATCCACAAAAACACACTGAGACATAATGGAGACCCAGAAGATGAACAGACCTATGGAACAGCTGTCCTGCCCTACATAAGAGGTACTACAGACAAAATCAGTAAGATACTACACAGACATCACATCAAGACTGCCTTCAAAACAGACAGAAAAATAGCAGCCATCCTTAGAAACCCCAAAGATAAAATTGACCTGGAAAACCAAAGCATATATGAAGTCCTCTGTGCATCATGCCCGGCCACATACATTGGACAGACCAATAGAAGAATAAGTACCCGCCTGGATGAACACAAAAATGCAGTAAAAAAGCTGGAACACACTTCCTCACTAGTCCAACACATGGAAGCCACAGGTCATAGCATCAACTTCAATGGCACCAAAACCCTAGCCACTATAGAAAACCCCAGCCACAGAATCATCAGAGAAGCCATAGAGATTGAAAAAAGACCAGAAAGCATGAATAGAAGAGATGATTCCACCAGACTGTCAATCATTTGGAAGCCTGCACTCACAAACAAAAAAATCTCCACACCACTAACCAGACAAGCACCTGGGCACAAACAGATCCCCACTGATACCTCCAGCTCAAACACACCCCAACCAGGCACCCAGATGAAACCTAGCTTCCTAACAAATGATAGCCGTCCATTTACCCGGAGCCAAGCTGCACTAAAGGTCTCCAATAAAGGAATACAATGTTGCCAGCCAATCAAGATACAAAAAGAGCCCCAAAACAGACAAAAGATATTAGAAACACCAATCAAGCAGAACACAGCAAACTCCAAGACCAATAAACACAGACCAAGACTCCCAACCAATCAGGATGAAGAAAAAACCATTCTGGCACAGCAATAGGCTGCCCCAAATTTAAATCTGAAACCACTATAAAAGTCTGACTCACAGATGAACACAATACAGAAGCCTGATGATGGCAGATGAGATTCTGCCGTAACGTTGCTACAACTTTAAAAGCACAACTACAATGACGTGGGAAAATACCCAAACAAAGCTGAATACCATACATGTATGGTATATATACCTTGTTTCTCCAACAATACAGCCTCCCCCAATAGGAAGTCCCAGCATGTTTTATAGGCATGAAATTAAATTAAGCCCCTCCCCCCAAATTAAGGCCTATATTAAAACATGCAAAATGGGGGGGAATGGTGGGGGGGGCTTGCCATTAGGAAGTACTTTTGTTGCACACCCGGATATGGTGCTGCCTGCATTGACCCCAATACGAAGTGTCCCACCAACGCCGAGGTCAACATCCAAGCCGTCGCCGCCCGCCCGAAGATGCAAGGGGGGGAAAATTAAGTCACCCCCGAAAAGACGGCCTAGCCATTTTTTCGGGGCTCAAAAAAAAAAAAAAATAAGACCCGGCCTTATTATATGAGAAACACGGTATATTCGTAGATTTTCATGGGTACAGGTATGCAGGACTTGGCATGTTTGGGTCTTTTCCCATATAAGATTGTGAGCATCTTGGCAACGTTTTGACGAGGTCCCACTCGACATCTTCAGGCTGGTGCTTTCGGCTTCCTGTTTGTGCGAGCAAAGCGTGATCGGAGCTGCCGTCTCCCTGTATATACTGGTGGGGAGGTTGGCTGTGTTGTCATTTCTTGATTGGTTGATGGAGTTGATGTTTGCAGATTGGCTGGCTTTTTCGTAAGAACAGGTGTGGCTGAGGTATTGGCTGTGTGTGTATCAGCCTCCTGTGTTGTAATGACCTGGGTAATGGGCTTTGTGATGACCTTCTGAGTTCTATTGTTTTGACATCCTGGGTCTTGTGCTGTAATCTCCTGGGTCGTAATGACCTGGGTCATGGCCTGTGTGATGACCTTCTGAGTTCTATTGTCATCACACAGCCCATGATCCTGCTTCCCCACCCCCCACCCCTCTGGGTGTATCAGCCAACGAAACACGTCCATAGCCAAGAGTCATCAATCATGCTCTCCAATTAGATTTTTGTGTGGCAGAAGCTGCAGTCATCTAATCAGTCTTTGAAGAAAATATGAATGGAATGTACTTTCGATTCCACACTGCTGCCTGCTTTTTGAAACTCCCCCCCTTCTTTGTGTTGTCAACTATAAAACGTGTATACAAACTGTTTTATGAGTTGACAGACTACCTGTACTCGCAATGACAAAAATCAACAATCCCCCACTCTCAAGGAAAAAAAAAATATCATTAATTGAGTTAAACAGTTCATTTTCCCTTTCCCAGTTTTAATAAGGAAGGCAATAAAACCTCCACCTACTATAATTCGGTAAGATGACCATATTCAGAGGCACCATGCATAGCATTACACTTCCAAGAGCAATGAAAGGGACTTCATAGCCAAAACTCTGGTACAAAAAGCCACCAATTGGAGGACCCAATACTAATCCCAATCCGGTGAAAACTTCAAGAGTGCCCTAAAAAGAAAGAAGAAACAACCATGCAGTAAGAAAGGATGGACTTTGGGCACCAGAAGAAACCCACAGGTTTATTAACAAGAGTGCTCTATAAGAAAGGATTGCATCAGTGGTGGTATTCAGCTGGTTCGCACCACTTCGGGCGAACCGGTAGCAAGGATTTGGCATGGGTCGCCAAACCGGTAGTAACTTCTGGCTGGCCACACTCCTGACCCGGTTGCCCCTCCCCTCCCTGCCCATCAGTCCTTATCGTGCATGCGCAATATCGCACACATGCCCGACATCGCTGACTGTGTTCTTCCCTGCCCAGTCACTCCTTAAGGTATTTCTTCCTTTTTCCCTTTTTTCCCGACAATCGGCTGTTCCTACCATCAGCTCTGCCGAGATTCCCCTCAGTGTCTTACTTCTTCCTTGAGGCCCAGGAAGGCAAAAAATGGAGGGGGGGCACAGCCCTCCCACCCATCCCCCGCGCTCCATTTTTTGCCTTCCTGGGCCCCTGGGAAGCTTCATGGGAGCAAAAATGCCCCCCAGAAAGCTTCCCTGAGGCCCAGAAGGTCCCAAAATGGAGTGTAGGGGGATGCTGTGCACCCCTACCAGGCTCTGGTTTTTTCCTTCGTGGGCCCCAGGGAAGCCTTCTGGGAGCAAAAACGCTCCTCCAGGAGGCTTTCCTGAGGCCCAGAAGGCACCCCAAAATGTGGGGGGGGGCGCTACATAAAAAAAGCCACAGCCACTCAGTCACATGGCCAATGCCACCTAGTCATCCCCACAGAACCGGTAGTAAAATTTTGTGAATCCCATCACTGTATCGCATGTAGTTTGTTGTATGTAACAGGTGCCCAGAACTCCACTACAAGTGTTTGCTGGAACATTTTAAAAGAGCTGATCATTATTGTGACTGATTAAAACTCTGCAAAACAAAATGGCATCCTGCTTCACTGACTTGCTGTGTCATTTTAAACAACAGCTTCACTGGCCTTCCGTGGCTTTTCAGGACACATTACTGAAAACCTTTCCTCTGAGCTCACTTATGCTTTAGTTAGGATTAGGGTTGTGCTGCATCTTAATTAAGTCTGGGATATGCCAGTTTGGTCTAGTGATTAAGGCACCAGGCTAGAAACTGGGAGACTATAAATTCTAGTCCCACCATAAGCACAAAGCCAGCTGGATGACTTTGGGCCAGTCACACTCTGTCAACCCCAGGAAGAAGTCAATGGCAAATCATTTTGAAACCTTGCCAAGAAAAATGCAGAAACTAGTCCAGGCAGTCAATTAATGCTGACTTGAAGGGGGAAAAAAAGATTATTAAAAGAATTATAGTCCAGTTAATTTTTCTAGCCTCCTAGATTAACTACAGAGATTATTCTGAATTGTTATCTATTAAAGGTCATCCAAGAAGCTGGCAAAAGAACAGGATCTTTCACTTCAGTGAAATATACATATAATTTAGGGTTTTTTTTGTAATTTTCAAATAGTGTCTTCATTAACAAATTTCTATTAATTAATAATGAGTTGGATTTTTTTCTCTGCCTCTGCTTGTTGCTTTATATTATGTTCCTAATTTTACTCTGAATTGCTCTCTATCCTCATTTTAAGCTCTAAAATGTTTCTGTTTGTTTAGCACTTAACATTAATGCAAGTGTTTGATTTTTTAAAACATTCTTTCTAGGATCCTTAAAGAGTATTTTTCTGAAGTGTGGAATAAAAATAGAATAAAATGGAAACGATCAGCAAGCAAAGGATCCTTGTGCTACTATTAGTATTACTACTGGTATTATTAAAATTCATTATAAACTGCCCACTCTCATAGACTCTGGACCACTCACAAACACAAAAACATTGCAAGCATTTAAAAACATACAACACGCCACAGGCATCTTGAACCAAAATAATCACAATGATAACACACTAGATCAGGACTCCCACAAACACATTAATCCCAGTCCTGACAACAAAGGCAGGTCTCACAAGCTTTCTGGAACTCCAAGAGAGAAGTTGTTTATCTCTGAGGGGATGTTGTTCCAGAGCATGAAGGCCACCACAGAGAAGACAAACTTCTTTGTGTCTTATGGAATCCATAAGATATCAATGTTTAATAAATCGGATCTGGAATATACATTCTTTGCCGGAACATATTAGGTGGGGACAGGGGTGGACTTCAAAATTTTAGCAAGGGGTTCTCTGCCCAGTTGCTGGGTGGGCATGGCCATGGTGGGCATGGCCGATCAGCCTCCTGCACCGTGGGGGGGGGGGTGTTTTTGCCCACCCCGGGCTCTGCAGACTCTCCCCAAGCCTCCGGGAGGGCGAAAATGGTCTCCTGGGGCTCCGGAGGCTCTTTGGAAGCCAGAAATGGGCCCATTTCCAGCCTTCCTAAACTTCTGGGAGGCCTGTTTTTCACCGTCCCTGTTAGAAATATAAGTCACCTAACAGATATTTGGGTTAGAAATATATAAACCAGGATAAACATTTTAAAACTGTATCTTTAAGAGATTGCAAAAACTGCAATTGGGTGTGGTTTTTCAAATGGCCATTGGAGCCAGAAACTTTGGTTGTCTTAGTCTGAGTCTCAGAAGAGAGTGTATCTCTGTTTCCTTCTGTTGGAAAGTATTGCTGTTGCTCCATTTCTTCTAATTGACTGATATTACTGGAATTTGATGTAAGTCTGATACTGAACTGTTTTTGACACTGGAATTTGTTCTTGGATTATCCCTGGACTAAAAACTGACTGATCTTACCTGTGAATGATTTTTGGACTGCTTATTTTGAACTTTGCTTAACGTTTCTGGAAGTAAAATCCTACATTTACTGTACAGTGTATCTGTGTGCTCTGTGTGTATTATTCCAACACTACTCTCTATGTCTCCCTGTATGCGCTCATTCTCCTAACAGGGAATTACCTCAACACTGGTTATGGGCCCAGGCCATACCAGGCTCAGATAACTGAGAGTTAATGTGAATGCACAGTACTGTATACAGACAGCTGTTTACTGTTTAATTGTGGGTTACTATCCTGGTAAAGATGGCACAAGACACTTCAACAAGTCTATCACTGATAACCCAGTTGGATGGAACAAACTATGTTTCCTGGTCTATGAAGTGCACTCTACTTCTGCATAGAGAAGGTTTATGGAATGTAGTTCAAGACCCACCGGATGTAAATGCATGGGATCCAGAAAATGAGGACGATGCCAAGAAGCTTGCTGACTTTAAACAGAACAACGAACGAGCTACAGAGGCCTGAGAAGTGGCTGAAACGCTGCCGAACATCCACGCCGACCACCTGCTGACCCAGGTAAGGGAGGGGTAAGGGAGCCCTCTGTGCTCCACCATGGTGTTAGGAGTGGCTGATGGTGAGGCGTAGCTGCCCGTGGGGCACTCCTAATGGCAAGTTCCCCGCCCCCCGCCTTCCCCTCCCCAATTTCGCATGTTTTAAACTAGGCCTAAATTTGGGGGGAGGGGCTTAATTTCATTTTATGCCCAGAAAACATGCTGGGTCTTCCTATTGGGGTGGGCGTATTGTTGGAGAAACATGATAGATATACATTATATGGGCATTACTCTTAAATAGCCATTCATCTGGCTCTGTTTCCTAGCATAGCTAGGATGATTTTCTCAAAAATCATCCCATGTTACATGGTTTTGATTGGCTTCATACATACCACAACTGTAGCTACATTTTGTGGGAAAGCATTTATGAGAATAGAAAATGAGGCTGTCGCTGCAGCAGCAAAACCAATGGCATCCATTGCTCGGACCAAAAAACACAGCCCTATGAATATTGGCCCATCAGGTGCTCTGTGCAAAAATCTAAAGAGAAAGATATAATGAATCACTCTATCTCTTAAAGCAGAGAATCCTGCTTTAATAACAGATGTTATTTAGATAGATGGCAAAGTTGTGGTATATTGACTGGTTTAGCAATATTCTACTGTAGAATAAAATAAAAGTAATTTGTATTTTCAGCAATGTTCCAAATCTTAGAAGTACTAAGAAACATTTCATCCTGCTAAATTTATCAGGGTCAAGGTAATTGCCGGGGACTTACAGACTAATATCAAAAGGAATGGAGGAAAAAAAAACTACTACTACTTTTCAAAGGAAGTAAAACAATGAACTCCAGAGATTACCCATCCTTTCCATCAGCGAGTCTGTTAATAAAAGAAAAAAAAGTAGATACATATGCTAAAATAAAATAGCCATAGAAACACAATGCAGCTTTTAGGAAAAGACACTGCATAAAAGAGATATTTATACTCACTCACCCAAAGAGAATCGTGACACATCCCGAGACGAACATGCCAGCAATAAACATAAATTTTGCTCCAATCTGTACAAGCTGTAAATTATTAAAAAAATAAATTATTGTTTTGGAAACTTTCATACATTTCAGAAACAAATGATATATTGACATAACTACATTTGTAACATACAAATCAACCTAATTTTACACAGTGAAGTAAACTAGTGCAATTAACTGTTCTTTACTATTACTAACAGTTCATACATTAATGACATGATGAAACTTTATGAACTACCATAGTATCAGTATTGTAATAATGCTTATGATCACCAAAGTTTATTGAAAAGATCTAGAAAAAGTGACTGACCCATAAAATATTTTTAAAATGCCAAATGCATACCATGAATCTAATTCTAAATTCACAGCAGGATAAATTGGACCTGATAGTGCTGAAGCACCATGGAAAAATCTTTACATTTCACAGGAAATGCAAGTTACGGTATACTATCAGGCAAAATTTTTGAGCTCTTAGATTTGGTAAGTTCCCCTTCTATCTCACTATAGAAGTGAGAATCTTAATTTATCTAGTTGGCTATTAGCCAGTATTTTCTGGGCAGCATCTCTAGAGATGTTCTTAAGATTCCAATACATATATAGTGAGGCAATTGTTCACATTAACTAAAGTCATGTAAAATGTGTAAGTTAAAGCCAAGACTTTACATTGTACTATGAAACTGACTGGATCCAGTGAAACAGGACATGTAAGAGCATGCCTCTTTCTTGGGCTTGGGCTTCAAAAGAAACAAGTATGAGACTTTAATGAACAAAAAAAGTATGGCCAATGTCATTATATAACATTATTGGGCAGCAGGGCCCAAATTTTCAAAACTGAAAAATTCAGATGTGGGAATATTTTTGTTTTTCTCATATAAATGAGATAGGTTGGTGCCTTAGATTATTTCTTGCTTTTTATGCCAATTTTATTATATTTCCTTGGTATCCTCTGTTTTGTAAACTGCCAGAGTTGCATATTGTATTGTAGATCCAAATATTGCCATAATATGGCAGAAATATAACTTTCAATTAATTAATTGATTTACTTGTTCTCCAGAACTAGCTATGATTTCCAAATAATCTTATAGGTCCGTAAGTGGGGTCCCTCACGGGTGGGATGCTACCGGTTCTGCCCAGTTCTATAGAGCTGGTAGCTCTGAAGAGCAACAGACACCGAACCGGTCCTGTGTTTGCTGCTCTTTGGCCCACCTGCCCGCCTGGGCTCTTACCTGTCCTTTATTTCTTGCTTTTTCAACCTCAGCTGCTTTGCACAGCACAGCTGAGGTTGAAAAATCAGGGGAAAAGAGGCTTTTCAAATGCTGCGCACCTGCGTGCAGCGCTTTTCAGCTGTCCAGGTGGCACAGCCTAAGGTTGTTTTATATGCACGTGCAAAACGTCACCAAACCGGTAGTAACACCAGTTGAATCCCACCCCCTGGGGTCCCTATGATTTCTGGTGGGATCAGGATAGGGATAGTGCAACTCTCTGGATCCTGCTTGACCTCTCACTGGTTTTGATACCATCAATTATACTATCTCACTGGGCTGTCTCTAAAGTTTAGGAGTGAAAAGCCTAGTCCTTCTCTTCCTTCCTGAAGGGATGGTCCAAGTCAGTGCAGATGGTGGGAAAAGACTGACACACACACACACACACACCAGGTACACACAATGCTACAAGGCTCACTGTTTTTTCTACTCTGATTCAACATTTACAGGAAACCATTGGATGAGACCATCTATTGATATGTAACCACGTTTCAACAATAAACTGATGAAATCCAATTGTACATCTCAACCCCCAGTTAAATAAATAATATTGTCAAAGTGCTATGCAACTGAACAACTGCAATGAACTCTACATTAGGCTGCCTTTGAAGAGCATTGGAAGCTAAGTTACTCCAGAATCTAGCAGCTTGAGTAACTCAGGATGCGTTTTAAAGGCACTCATATAAGATTTCTACTATGGGACCTATAGCA